ATTTGTTTTAATATTGGATTCGAACGGTAAAAGGGTTTGTAATACATACCAGCTGACAAATGGATTTGGTGTACAAGTAAAGGTAAGACCATAAACTTTTATTATTTCTAGTTAGAAATAAGCTCAACTGGAATAAATTTTAACCTCAAATTAAATATGGGTCACGTTTGTGTGAAGAATGTTGATATGAGATATAAAACATAACACAGTCTGTTAACAGACAGTTTGTTAACGGCTCATTTGTATTTGTAAATCTGACTGTAACAGAGTCCAGTGCCTCACCAGCTGTCAACCTCACTGCACATCAGTGGTTTTATCTGTCTGATATGGCAGCAAAGATACAGGGATGACAGACTGACTGTCCAACCACATTAAACAGTGGAAACAAGATACAGCCCAGAATAAGTATTTGGAAGGAGGTATAGACCTTTTAACATGGTGTGAACACAGCCTCAGAAAAGGATTGACCCCTGTCTAAGGTTAACACACTTTAAAACAAGTGACTCGTCTCCTTACCAGCCCCACTACGAGGAGGAAGTGTCGCCCCTGTAGCTGGCTGTCGCCCGGTGCTGTGCTGTTGCCGTTAGCTCGCTGCTGGGGAAATACCTCCCTCCAGATAACCAGCTGACCCACACGCTGCTCAGACGCTAGCGGCAGCAGGCAGTAGTGCTGGCAATACAGACACACATCCAGCAGGTCCTCTTTAGGCAGATGGTTGGCAATCAGGTAGGACTGGGAGGAGAGTGTGGATGATTTAGTGAAATCTTGAGTAAACATCTCTTCGGGGCTGGGAGCCAGCATTTTGAGTGAACAAATAAATGATCAGAATAAACGTACTCAGTCCAAAAGGCCTTTTGAAATTCTTTTTGTTCACCCGCTACATTTAGTTGGTGCATGTAACTACTGAGTAGTTTGACCTGTACTGTAAGTTCAAAGCTCCTTTAACATTTTCACTTCTAGATCACAGACCGTGGAGCCAGACATATCGAGCCTAAACATAAAATAAAAACAAACTGAATTGTTCTACTTTCTATCACATATACATTTTTGTTACTATATCAGAATTCCAATATCATAGTCTTCTCAACATGCTAAGTATTGAATTTTTTACTAATGCTTCTACCACTTGATGTGCACTTTAGTACTAAACCTAAAAACATGGACTCACACTTCCACTGTAACAAAAGAGGAACTACACATGCGCTGCTCATTGTCTTCCCTCTCACTTGTCTCCTTTGTTAGTGAAATAACAATATAATTAGGCTCATCATGTTATCTTGTGTGAAAGGCCAGTTTCTGTATACAGCCACTGCTAGCTGGGTTTTTCATTGTTGCCATTTAAGGAGAACTGTCTAGACAGCACAGCATCATCAGGGGAGGATATAAATATCATAAGACCGCTGCAGATGAAGTGTCTGTGTGTGTGTGTGTGTGGGCACTGACTGTGACACATACCTTGTAGAACAAACAGGAGCCGAGAATTACATAGAGACGCCTTAGGCCAAAAAAGTCCTCAGACTGTAAAATTAGAAAAAAAAAAGAGATGAAAATAGAAGAAAGTAAACAAAGACACAGATGCTGGAGGGAGTGAATATAGGCACCAGGTGAAAAAGGTGAAAAAGAGGCTACTGACATTGTTTAAACAACCATTTGTGTGTGAATGTTAATCCCAAACAGGTGGCATACAGTACTTTTAACACAGTAGTACTTGAAACCCCAGAGCTTAGCTTTTGTTTGCTGAAAAGTTTATAAGTGACATTTTTACAGTCTCACCATTTCTCCAAAATCAGAAGACTCAAAATCAGAGAGAACAGTATCCACCTCCACCTGTGCATAGAAAATAAATCAGCCTTAATTAATTACATGGCAAGCATACCAAATGTTTACTCCTTTGTATGCGTATTTCAGTAATGTTACACTCTGCACTCCTGCAATGATTCATGGTCCTCAATGGACACTGTTACATTTTTATCTAAGTTTACTTCAGCAGGCTGCAATGGATTGGCGA